ATAATATATAAAGAATTATATTGCTCGATTTTTTTTTTATTTTGTAAAAAAAAAAAAAAAAAATCTAGTACATTTCTCAAAACAATTAAGTGATGAATTCATTTTCAAATGAGCAAGAAATTTTTAAAGTTAACTAATCAGAAAATAATGTTACTTCCCAGTAAGATAAGTTTCTGTATGAATATTTAGAATGAGGAGATATCATTAGTGACAGAAGATTTAGATAACTGAAGGAATCAACATATATACTAGGCTCTGAGAATCCCCTCAGTAGGCCCAGCATAGAAATAAATGTCATAATGGAGCCATCAAGAAATAAAGAAAAAGAAATGACAGCAAGGATTCAATAGCAGCAGCAATAATTATAAAAGAGAAGCTGTGGTGAATTTAGTCAAAGCATGACAGAAGAGGCTCATAGTTCTAGGTTAGTTGGTTAGATTTGTTTAACGGCATATCAACTCTGATTTGAGTTCAAGATTTTTTTCATGGGTACAATAGCCTAGTGGATAAAAGTGTTGGTTTGTGAATTTGGTGAAATAATAGTTAAAGTTAAAGTAAAAACTTACACTCAGTGGAAGTAGGGCAAGCAATAACAGAGCAGTACTAAATAAAAACAAGATGAAGTATACCTTAAACATGGATAGCAGAATGAGATCAATCTGCTCCAGTAGATTAAATAAAGAGCTCAGTTTAAAATTCCCTGAAGGTTACCCAGATCAACACACACCCAGAGAAGGCCTGGAACCTTGTGAAAATAATGATAAAAATTAGTCTAAATGTAAATAAAATCATTTATCACATTTGCTGAAGAGACCCAAAACAATTGTTTTTGAACTATACAGCATGATAAAATATATATATATATATATATATATATATATATATATATATATATATATATAAATATATATATATTTATGTATACAGCATGATAAAAATAAATCCAGATGTTGGAACCAGTAATTAAAAAACAAATAAAACTTGAAATTTTTTTTTCCCTTTATCAAGAGTCTTTCCAAACAAACTTTTATAGATAACCTCCCACTGATTTCTCTATCATTATCTAGATCAGTGGAGCAAGAAGACAAGAGAGAAGACATGAAATCTATAAACATAGAAGCTTTTAATATCTATGCTGTTTGTGTTCATTTGAGCAACAAATTGAAACTAGGAAGTCAGGATCAGATGGTTAATCAAAGTAAACAAATTGCAAAAAAAAAAACAAAAAAAAACAAAAAAACTTGATACCAAGCACTCAATGCTTGGGATATATTTTATATTTAAGTATAAATGTCTACGTAGGTAGATCAATAAGTCCACACCTTCATGATGAAAAAAAGCATTTATTTTAAACAGCAACTGTTTATTCTTAAATATATTCTCTTTCCTTGTCAATGAACTTATTTCAGTGGCACATATCAGTTATATAGAACAAATATTACACAGGGAAAATTCTAGAGTAAAATTCATCTAAAAACTGTATGTTATTTCTATCTTGACCTCTGACAAGCCTTTGATAAAAGTAAAACATGTTAGATTAAGAGATATTTCCAACTTTTTCTTTTATCTTGTCAAATACCTATCCATATCTGATCTATGTTTGATCTTCAATATATATATATATACATACACATAAAGGGTATGGTAGAAATATCTCCAACATAATGGTAAGGCATTAGCTAGATGAAGACACCATTGCCACTGATGTGTACTATTGTGTGAGGCATTTATCTATGAAACCTATATGCTATAGATGTGGGATAGTATGTATATTCACTAATATATACATAATAGCTTAATATTATATAACATTGAGCACTGTTTTTATAACACCTGAGAAAGAAATATATATGTATGTGCAAGTATATGTATGTATACATGTTTTTTTTTATTATGCCCATATATATATATATATATATATATAAAAAGACAATAGAAAAACTGTATGTAGTTTTAGCCAACATTGCCTACTGCAGACTTTTCAAGGCAAAAAACAAAATGAATTTATTTGAACAAAGTATCTATAAACAAAAAACAAAATGTTAGTTAAAAGAAGAATTTAGAAATGCTCATATATATTCATTGGATCAACTGAAAAATTATGTCATTTCCTTTTTATGTAGAAATTGTTTGGATGTTGTGAAGATGGAAATCCAAAGAAAACAGCTGAATACATCTTCACAACAATCCACACAATTTCTACATATGAAAAACTCTCTTCAAACATACAAAGTAAATGACATAATTTTTCATTTCTCCATATAAAAAAAAAGTTTATTTCAATCTTGCAACATTTATGTCTACCAAAAATGAAATGAATATATATATATATATATATATATATATATATATAATATAAAAGGCTCAAACATCATGGTTATAATTTATTACATTGGAATCGGAATCGCGATCCAATTCATCAGACCTACAAATTCAAAATGCTTTTTGAATTTGTAGATCATGATTCCAATTCCAATATAATAAATTATAACCATGGAATATTAGTGTTTGAGCCTTTTATATTATATTCTTACTCTGTCCTGGACATTAAGTTCTACCTGGATTCTAACATCTTCACCCATTGAAGTGCAGTTGAAATGCACTGAAACTAAGTTGCATCTTTGTAGTGAGTATAATGGTTTTGTCTATATGATAAAATTATAACAGATATACACACACGCACACACACACACATATTACATAGTAATAATACATTTTATTTTAAGACTGCAATACTTAGACTGTTCCTCTCAAAAAAGAAAGAAAACTACATTATCTGTCTATATGTCTGAGATGAGGTTTTATGATTACTTGCATTATTCACATTATTCGGACTGTTACCCTCATCTTCATTGCCATATTCACAATGTTTTGGCCTTCTTCAGGTGATTGGAATTCCAAATAGTTTGAAATTCCAACCACCTGAAGAAGACCAGAATGCACAATAGCCGAACTTTTGTGAATATGGCAATGAAGATGAGAATAACAGTTTGAATAATGTAAATAATGCAAGAAAACTACATGTATGTCAAAAAATCAGGGATCAGTTTGACATTATATTGTAAACAGGACACCTCCCCACACTTAAATAATAGAAAGGAAATTCTTTTGAATGCTAGGCAACAAAAATTAGTTGTGAAAATATTTTTATCTATAAGAAATTATTAATTAATATTCATGTCAGAAAGTAAAGGTTCTTTTTTTTTTATATTTACTGTAGTGTATTGTAATGTAAACAAGTCTAAACTCACAGTATTTCTATTTATATATTGTTTTAATGTAATAAAAAGATTCGAGTCGATCCTAACAGAGTACAGTTCCTTTATTCAGAGATTCAAATGGAGAAAACAAAATCATAATTATTACTTTCAAAATATTCTGACAATACAGAAAATTCATAATTTAATTTAGTTTTGTTATATTTTCTCCACAGATCAACTCAAAGCACATCTGCTGAAACAGAGTGGTCAAAGCCCTCAGGTTCAATCTGAGTCATTATCAAGTTCTTCCCATCAGCCTTGAGAAAGTCAACGACCTCACAAAATTAAGATTTCTATATCGAAGTCACAGAATATGTCTTGGCTGGGTTGAACTAAGCGAAGATGATATCTTTGTTGATTCAATGTTTTGCACTAGTTGCAGAAAGAACAGGCTAAGCTAAATGAAAAGCTGCTTAACCAAGGTGGTGATGCTTTTATGAAAGGAACTTCCAATGGCAAAAAAAGACACAGCGAGGACACATAAACAAATAAAAAACATAAATTTTGTAAATTCTAAAAAAATTGCAGTGGTCACCTCATTTTTCAGGCGTCCATCAAGGCAATTTTTTGCTTGCTCCTATCTTAGGCTAAACTTAACCATATATATATATATATATATATATATATATATATATATATATATATATATGTGTGTGTGTGTGTGTTATTTTCTTGTTTGTTATTTTTCAATTCACCTCTTTATGTTGGTTTATTTCATTATCCAAACTCTTTTCCCCACCTTTTTTTTTTTTTGCTATATAGTTACATATAATTTCAATACATCCATTTTTATATACCATAGACTGTTGAAGTATTTATGCATCAGGTACACTCCAGAATTAAAAAAGTAAAATAAATATAGAATAATAATATAAAAATATCAAATAAAATATAAAATGATATAAATAAAAATAAGTAAATACAAAATACAAAAGGAGGCATGGTGGAGTAATAGATAGCAGCTCGGATTGAGGAAATGGAGAGCCTAGTTCAAATTCCAGTTGAATCCATTACATTCACTTATGTGCTAATACCCTTGGGAAAGGTATGAATTCTCTTCTTCTCCCTGCAGTTATGGATAAATAGCAGAACTGACCAGGTTCTATAGCCTTGGATGGCAACTGGTCTACCACAGAAAGAAATGGCAACCTACTGCGGGAAAAAAATCTGCCTCATCAGTCATGTATCGAAAGATACATGATTGCCTAAGTGTGTATCATGAATGGTACATAACTGACTGACTGAAATATCAAATAATACATTGGCCTGAAAACTATAGTAATCAATGTTTAAAGAAACATGCTAAAAAATTTAGCATGCATGGGGTATACATAGGAGAGGGACCACCCAAAAGTTTAGGGAATTTGAAAAAAATCAATCAATGTGTTTCTCTGTCAAATTACTCCATGTTTCCATTGCCTCACTGGACATTTCATCTCAAAAAGTCACCACCACTTTTTTTTTCTTCTTTATTTAAGAAAGTTATTCCATGTGTTCAGTTCCCCAACAAACACTTGGTTAGCATAGCAGACAGAGATCTGTAAGATAAATCTGTTGAATTAAACAGATATTATATCTATATTAAAATATGTTATAGGAAAAAAAAAAAAAGAAAGAAAAATGTTAATTATGCATGTCAACTAAATCATCTAACATGGCATCATCTAATTTGAAATTGTTTATGTGTATCGGATAATTTTATCATCAATGTTTAATAATATTATGTTAGTATATTCATGCCTATATTCCTCTAATCTTTTGGCTAACACCCAATATACAGATAAGAAACTTCAAGATGAGAGAGAAAGAAAGAAAGAGAAAGAGAAAGAGAGAGAGAAAGAAAGAGAGAGAGAGAGAAAGAAAGAGAGAGAGAGAGAAAGAAAGAGAGAAAAGAAAGAGAGAGAGAAAGAGAGAGAAAGAAAAGAAAAAGAAAGAGAGAAAAAGAGAGAGAGAGAAAAAGAGAGAGAGAGAAAAAGAGAGAGAGAGAGAGAAAGAGAGAGAGAGAAAAAGAGAGAGAGAGAGAGAAAGAGAGAGAGAGAGAGAGAGAGAAAAAGAGAAAAAAAAAAAGAGAAAAAGAAAGAGATAGAGAGAGGGAGAGAGAAAATCTGTATGCCAAGTTAAAATTCTGTCCAAGTTCACTGCATTCACTTTTGCACAAATTTTCTTGGAAAAAGTATATCTCCCTCCCAACCATGAGGCTGGCAATTCTATCCTTTAAAAAAAATAACAAAAAAACTACAACAATTTTGAATATACTCATTTCCAAAATAGAATCATTGAAACCACCTTTATATTGTTTTCTTGTTAGCAATTTATTAAATGTCAAATTAAGCATCTCTATGCTTCAAGTGTATAGCATGCCAGTTATACATGTTATGCAGATAGAACATTTTCAAGGATGAAAAGAAAGAAAAAAAAATCAATTTTACAATAAACAGATAATTTGAAAAGGTGAAGTTGAATAATAGAATAAGCTCATTTATAAGACCAATAATTCAATATAAACTAACTGAAATCCATCTTGATAACACAGTCATAAATTGGTGTGGTCCTAATTTCATGCAGTACAACTAAACAGAATACTAGAATAGTTAAACTTACAATAGCAAATAGTTCAATAATGCACATGTACATTAATCTTGACAACTCCCAGTAAAAATCATGCAGAGTCATTAAAACATGTAGAGGTGGTTGGGAAAATCAGAATCAGATACAAAAATTTAACTATCTGGATTGTGTAGTAACAATTCATGGAAAGTTTAACACAGAATTCCAAATGCATGCAAGAATAGTAGAAGGTTCTTTCCAGAATCTAAGTAAAGTATTAAGTGATAAAAAAGTGCTTAACTGATGCATATTTTATATAGCAATGAATGTCAGACATGAAGACTTAAAGTAACAGAGATATGGTTCTACTGATGAATGCTAAGAATATCATGAGCAATAATATGTGAAAAAAAGAGGAATTTTTAAGGAAAATATAAAAAAAAAAAAACATGATGACATACTTCTACCATTGAATGCTGAGAATAATATGAACTGAACATTTGATTAAAGAGGAAGTTTTAAAGAAAATAAGAACTATAAGGAAACATATGATCATAAAGAGACAGTGATGTAGTTCTACTATTGAATGTTGAGAATAACATGGACTGAACATGTGAGCAATAAGGAAGTCTTAAGGAAAACAGGAACTACATAGAAACTTATACTTACAATCAGAAAGAGACAGTGATGTGGTTCTAAAGTTGAATGCAGAGAATAACATAGACTGAACATTTGAGTAAAGAGGATGTTTTAAGGAAAACGGAAATTATGAGGAAATTTTCAACTTTGTTCTTTGAAACTGATTTGGTGATATTTTTTATTTTTTTATAGCTTTCATTCCCCTACCCCAAGTACCCCAAGGAGGAAAAAAGAGGTATAAATGTAGTAATGATTTTTTTTTAAATTCAAGTTTCTCTCAAGCCAGCCAAAAGTTTTGAATAATATCAAAACTGAATAAGAGTTTTGAATAAGACCCTCTAAATGTCACTCATTCAATTACCAACTAGGTTCAATGTTTCTTAACTGTCTAATTGGCCATTATAATGTATGTAACCAGATAATAATCAGTTGATTGATTCATTTTCTACAGTTTATGAACCCATTACAGGTTATTTAAAACCAGAAAATATTTTTAAATTTTTTCTCTTTTTGTAGATAATAATGGTTTATTGATACAAGTCTTAATAACTAACCCATAAAGTGGGGGAGAGAAGAGATGCATCCATACCTTTTCCAAAGGTATTTGCATATAAGTGAATATAACAAACCCAACAGGAATTGGAACTCAGCTCTCTGATTAACAATTCTGAGCCATTATCCATTGCACCACTCACACAACCAAGCTTACAGGACCTGGTATTCTCAAGTCATCACCCATCTAGGTACTGAACAGGTTCAATGCTGCTTAACTTCTGTGACTGTATGAGTACTGGTGTTTCAACGTGATATAGCTGTAACCCACAGCACCCACACATTTAAGCTTATGGGATTTGGTATTCCCAAGTAAACATCCATTTAGGTATTGACCAGGCTTGACACTGCTTAACTTCGGTTCTCGTAGAACCAGTGTTTGGCATGAGGTAGCCATAAACTACACCACCTGTACATTCAGGCTTACAACACCTTGGATTCCAAAGTAGTCACCCATCTTGAAAGTGACCAGGCTCAATGTTGCTTAAGCAGTGATCGTATGAAAACTGGTCTTTCAACATAATGTAGCCCAAAGCCATAACACCTACATATTCATGCTTATAGCACTTGATATTCCCAAGCAGTCACCCATCTAGGTACTGACCAACATTGCTTAACTTTAGTGATCATATAAGTATGTGATGTGGCCGTAAGCTTAATCAGATAGTGACATGCTAATTAAAGTGAACAAACATTACTTACTTATTTCTACATAACGTATTGGCATATTGGGTTCACTTGGAGAAGCCTTGTCTCGAACAACACAAATCTGAAATGAAAGAGAAAATACATATCAGAATGCTTTTCATGTTGAAATGCAGGAACTTTTTTTAAAGAAAATGAAAAATGTTTAAGAGTTACTTTCATTGATTATTTAAACTGACTATTCATCTGTTCACTACACCTGAGATTAATAATATACTACATCTGGCAGCAAGGCCTCTGATTAAAAGATTGAAAGTTTTGAGGAGCATGGAACACCTCTTGATTGCTGTTGTTACTAGGTCCACCTGTTAGGGTCCACACTATGGGTAAATAATGAACTCCCAAACTAAAATCAAGACACCTGGAAGGCATAGAAATATTTATAGTGGAATTACCAGCAATACATTTTTATAAAATGACGATCAATACAATACTCAAAAAACATATTTTTTTATAGTAAAATTACCAGAATTACTTTTCTTTTTATTTTAAATTACCAAAATACATTTTATCATCTACAAACTACAGGGTGCGATGGATAAATTGTCATCTAAATTACATAAAAATAAAAATAACACAAAAATATCTTTAAATACTAAAAAGTAAATTTATTCAATAAAATTGCCATTGGCTTCATCGACAGCCTCCAGATGACTTCAGAATCTCCTCAAACTCTTCTGGATGATCTCCTTGTTTAAGTTGGTGAATGCTGCCATAATCTTTGCCTTCAGATCATCTTTAGTATTACAAAGAGTTTTGTTGGTCTTTTGCTCAACTGTGCCCCACACATAATAATCAAGGGGGTTGCAGTCAGGGGAGTTAGGTGGCCAGATGTAAGAAGTAATGTGGTCACAGAAATTGACTGGCAGCCATCACTAGGTTCTCTTGCTTGTGTGGCATAGTGCAGAGTCCGGTTACCAGACACAGGGTCTTTCAACAGCCACCCTCTTGATCCAGAGCAGCACTACCTCCTCAAGGTATTTGATGTAGGCCTCCATATTTGGTCTGAGGCCTTCACCAACAAATTTGAGAGTTCTTTTCTTATCAGAGTTTTCCAATATGCCGTACCTTCATAATCCCCATTAGACTTATCCAACACTTTCCAATGTTCTCAGATTGATATCCACTCTGAAATGTTTGTATTGGAGCTTCCGGTGTGAATGCCAAGAAGTACAGCATGCTGTTTCCAAATTTCTGGTGGAGTGAACTGCGTCACGGTGCTCTTTTTCTCAGAGACAGTGCCCAACTGACCCTACTATACTGTGCAGTCAACAAAAATCAAAAACAATGTGCATGTGTGAAATTGAAAATGTTAAATAATGACAATTTACCCATCGCAACCAGTACATATCTAAGAAACACGTTTGCCCTAAAAGTATAAAATTATGTACAAAATATCTGCAGTTGAAAGCATAAAAATATATGTATCTGAAGCCATAAAATTGTATACAAAGTATTTAGTTTTCAGCATTAAATAACCCATATGTGGCTAAATAAAATAACCCAGCCACATATTGTCTGCTTGTAGGAGAGGCTTTAGAAGAGTAGTAACCAGTATGAGTAACACTTAAAACATTCCAGTTTGATACAGCAATCTTTTGAATTTAATCATTTATCATTAGAATATAAACAGTTATAATAGTATACATTTAACTTTTTTGCTTCCACTCAAAAGACATATAGAAAGAGTTTGTTTTCTTTGCTTCCACTCAACAGACACATGGAGAGGCTTTGTTTTGTTTGCTTCCACTCAACAGACACATGGAGAGGCTTTGTTTTGTTTGCTTCCACTCAACAGACACATCGAGAGGCTTTGTTTTGTTTGATTCCACTCAACAGACACATGGAGAGGCTTTGTTTTGTTTGATTCCACTCAACAGACACATGGAGAGGCTTTGTTTTGTTTGATTCCACTCAACAGACACATGGAGAGGCTTTGTTTTGTTTGACCACTCAACAGACACATGGAGAGGCTTTGTTTTGTTTGATTCCACACATGGAGAGCTTTGTTTGTTTGATTCCAACAGACACATGGAGAGGCTTTGTTTTGTTTGATTCCACTCAACAGACACATGGAGAGGCTTTTGTTTTGTTTGATTCCACTCAACAGACACATGGAGAGGCTTTTGTTTTGTTTGATTCCACTCAACAGACACATGGAGAGGCTTTGTTTTGTTTGATTCCACTCAACAGACACATGGAGAGGCTTTGTTTTGTTTGATTCCACCAACACACATCGAGAGGCTTTGTTTTGTTTGATTCCACTCAACAGACACATCGAGAGGCTTTGTTTTGTTTGATTCCACTCAACAGACACATCGAGAGGCTTTGTTTTGTTTGATTCCACTCAACAGACACATCGAGAGGCTTTGTTTTGTTTGATTCCACTCAACAGACACATCGAGAGGCTTTGATTCCACTTTTGTTTTGTTTGATTCCAACAGACACATGGAGAGGGCTTTTGTTTTGTTTGATTCAACAGACACAACACACACATGGAGAGGCTTTGTTTTGTTTGATTCCACTCAACACACACATGGAGAGGCTTTGGTTTGATTCCACTTTGGAGAGGCTTTTTTTTTGATTCCACTCAACAGACACATGGAGAGGCTTTGTTTTGTTTGATTCCACTCAACAGACACATGGAGAGGCTTTGTTTTGTTTGATTCCACTCAACAGACACATCGAGAGGCTTTGTTTTGTTTGATTCCACTCAACAGACACATGGAGAGGCTTTGTTTTGTTTGATTCCACTCAACAGACACATTTGGCTTTTTTTGTTTGATTCCACTCAACAGACACATGGAGAGGCTTTGTTTTGTTTGATTCCACTCAACAGACACATGGAGAGGCTTTGTTTTGTTTGATTCCACTCAACACACACATGGAGAGGCTTTGTTTTGTTTGATTCCACTCAACAGACACATGGAGAGGCTTTGTTTTGTTTGATTCCACTCAACACACACATCAACAGACACATTCCACTCAACACAGGAGGCTTTGTTTTTGTTTGATTCCACTCAACAGACACATGGAGAGGCTTTGTTTTGTTTGATTCCACTGTTTTGTTTGATTCCACTCCACACACATCAATTCCACTCAACAGAGACATGGAGAGGTTTTGTTTGATTTTGGAGAGGCTTTGTTTTGTTTGATTCCACCAACAGACACATGGAGAGGCTTTGTTTTGTTTGATTCCACTCAACAGACACATTTGTTTTGTTTGATTCCACCAACAGACACATGGAGAGGCTTTGTTTTGTTTGATTCCACTCAACAGACACATGGAGAGGCTTTGTTTTGTTTGCTTCCACTCAACAGACACATGGAGTGGCTTTGTTTTGTTTGCTTCCACTCAACAGACACATGGAGAGGCTTTGTTTTGTTTGATTCCACTCAACAGACACATGGAGAGGCTTTGTTTTGTTTGATTCCACTCAACAGACACATGGAGAGGCTTTGTTTTGTTTGATTCCACTCAACAGACACATGGAGAGGCTTTGTTTTGTTTGATTCCACTCAACAGACACATGGAGAGGCTTTGTTTTGTTTGATTCCACTCAACAGACACATGGAGAGGCTTTGTTTTGTTTGATTCCACTCAACAGACACATGGAGAGGCTTTGTTTTGTTTGATTCCAAACAGACACATGGATTTGTTTTGTTTGGAGACATGGAGAGGCTTTGTTTTGTTTTTCCACTCAACAGACACATGGAGTGGCTTTGTTTTGGAGAGGCTTTTTTGTTTTGTTTGATTCCACTCAACAGACACATGGAGAGGCTTTTTTTGTTTGATTCCATGCATGGAGAGGCTTTGTTTTGTTTGATTCCACTCAACACACACATGGAGACATGGCTTTGTTTTGTTTGATTCCACTCAACACACACATGGAGAGGCTCCCATTCCACTCAACAGACACATCGAGAGGCTTTGTTTTGTTTGATTCCACTCACAGGCTTTGTTTTGTTTGATTCACACATGGAGAGGCTTTGTTTTGTTTGATTCCACTCAACAGACACATGGAGAGGCTTTGTTTTGTTTGATTCCAATAACAGACACATGGAGAGGCTTTGTTTTGTTTGATTCCACTCAACAGACACATGGAGAATTTTGGACACATGGAGAGGCTTTGTTTTGTTTGATTCCACTCAACAGACACATGGAGAGGCTTTGTTTTTGTTTGACCCAACACACACATGGAGAGGCTTTGTTTTGTTTGATTCCACTCAAAACACATCGAGAGGCTTTGTTTTGTTTGATTCCACCAACAGACACATGGAGAGGCTTTGTTTTGTTTGATTCCACCCAACAGACACATGTTTTGTTTGATTCCACTCAACAGACACATGGAAACCACTCAACAGACACATGGAAGGCTTTGTTTTGTTTGATTCCACTCAACACACACACATGGAGAGGCTTTTGTTTTTTGTTTGATTCAAATGTTTTGATTCCAACAACACATTTTGTTTTGTTTGATTATAAATGACAAAATATAAAATCCAATATAGACACATGGAGAGGATTCCAAATCATCACATGGAGAGGCTTTTGAATTTGTTTGATCCACTCAACACAAAAAAAGGCTTTGTTTTGTTTGATATTCCTCACACATGGAGAGGCTTTGTTTTGTTTGATTCCACCAACAGTGGAGAATTCCACTAACAGACATGTAGGCTTTGTTTTGTTTGATTCCACTCAACACACACATGGAGAGGCTTTGTTTTGTTTGATTCCACTCAACAGACACATGGAGAGGCTTTTTTTGTTTGATATGTTTTGTTTTGTTTGATTCCACTCAACATGATATTTGTTTTTTTGAAGTTTATTTTGTTTTTTTTGATTCCACAACACATGGAGAGGCTCTCAAATTTATGAAATTTGTTTTTCCACTCAACAGAAATTTTGTTTTGTTTGATTCCACTCATGGATATTTACACATGGAGAGGCTTAATAACAGACACATGA